AGGAAGGCTCCGGGTTTGCAGGGCTGGAGAGAGTGGGAGGCGTGGACTTGTCCTACATCAAAGGAGACGACACCAGCGCCTGCGCTTCCCTCGTCGTTCTCAGCTACCCGGCCCTCGAGGTAACGGCAAGGGAACGCGTCGCCCCTTAGGGTTGTGTCCAGGTGTGCAATAACGTGCGGGGTTTCGTGGCAAACTCACACGGAGGCCGTGATGTGCTGCGCGGGACACCGGTCGGTTCCCAGGGCTACGTTCCACGCAGCCTCCAACCGTGCCTGCGGCAAGGAAGCCAAACACAGAAGACGAAATCCCAGTGTGCAAGGGTTTAGCCATAAGTTTGGGAAGATGCCACGCAAACCGCTCCTAATTGCGAGAGGTTCGTAGGATTTCTGGGAGCTTACAAGGCGTTGCAGACGATGCTTTAGCGTCCAGGGTCGATGGTGAAGCGGAAGGCACCGTGATGGGACGCGGTCCGCGGTCAGGCACAGCAGTTGTAGCTGGTTTAGGTGTATAGGGAAAATAACCAGGCTTGGCCACCGCCCGGAAGGAGACCAAAAGGGCCGCTGCTACTCAGGGCCGATCAAGAGAGGAAATGAAAGCGTCTGTAGCACTCGAACAGCAGATGTCTCGTTTGTGAGTTCTTGCTGGGAATCAATGATATGGGATGGAGTGTATAAGAGCCTTTTCAAAACCGCCATGAATCCCACATCCCACAGTCATTTTACTTGAATTAATAAAGATTTTTGGCCTCTTTCCCAGCTTTCAAAATGGTATAAAAACTACCTTTAACTATAAAACCTATAACAAGCAGAGAAATAAAGTTTGGTACTGGCTGCTGGGATTTTTATGAACTGAATTTCCAAGCCTGCCTTGGTTCTTGACTTGCCCAGCACGAAGGGGTTTTTTGTCCCATCCTACAGAGTTTCTCTCGGCCTGCCCCTGCCTAGCAACAGACGCCCTTTGATAACGCTCTGAGCGGGGGAACGCTGAGGTCCCCCCTGCCTGTTGGAGTAGCTGCCCCGGTTTTGTTTCAAGGACTCCACTCTCAAGCAGGGTATGGTAGGTGATGTCCAGCCCTCTCTGTCAGCAGTCCCTTATCCACCCCTTCTCTAATGGAGTGACAGAATGACACAACCCAATGGCCTTGGCTTTGTGGGAGAGATCCAGAAGCAGAGTATTTTAAAAAAAGATGAGATTAGGGGACATAAACCAGAGGCGATGCCTCTGAAACAGTTAGGAACTCACCAGCAAAGTCCTGGAGTTTGTTATCTCTGCTTGCAGGTGCTGTACGAGGATTGCCGGATGGTGGCTGTGAGTGCCCCCTACGTGGCAGGATTCTTAGCCTTCCGAGAGGTCCCTTTCCTGGTGGAAGCTGTTCAGAGACTTCAGCAG